GCGGCGCGAGCCAGCTGACCCGCAGGACCGCCCCCCACTTTTATAAGCAACCAGCCGCAGGCCTGTTTTTCAGCCAAGCGCATCTTTTGCAGTTTCTCAAGACTTTTCTAAAGGTTTCCACCTCTCTTCCGCCCCCACCCAGCTGTGGTCCCCGGGACTGGGGCTGGGGTGGAGGTATGGGGGGCTGGGCTCCTTTCTACTAGGCCTGCATGGCTGGGGGCTCTGAGTTCCCGACGGGAGGTGGCCCCTCTAGGGGAGACAGTGGCATGGGGGATGCACGGAGGGCACCCCAGCCCAGGAGAGAGCAAGCAGAGGTCACACCGATTCACACCTCCAGCCGGACACAGCTCAGGGGGTGCACGGCACACACCCAGCAGATGCTAGAATCAAGTCGTGGCTGTGGAGCTGGCCACAGGGGCACACTCAGCTCACACCCAGGACACTCATCTCACACTGGGCCACACTCACCCCATACTTAAGACACTCCCCTCATGCCCAAGGCACACTCAGCTCATAACTAGGGCACACTAAATTCACTCCATTCACACCCAGCTCACATCCAAGGCACACTCAGCCCATGCTGAGGACATACAGAGTTTACACCAGAAACACAAGGTTCACACCCAGGGCACATTCAGCTCACACGCAGTGCACACACGATTCACACTCACCCCAGTGCACATGAGCAGCCCTGGTCACAGTCCCCACCACCCTGTTCCCATCCTCCCACTCCCCAGGACGACCTGTGGGCCAATGGGGTGCCCACTGGCAGAAGCCATGTCCCTAGTGCCCCTGGCACCCGGCCTCAGGGTCCCCCAGCTGGAGGAATCATCCAGCCAAGTTCACATGGAGCCCTGAGCTGGCACACTCAGGTGTGGGTGAGAGCACACAGTCGGGGCGGGCACTGAGTCCCTGCCACGTACCCTGCAGGGGTGGTGGAAGGGAAGAGGGCTGAGGACCCTAGTCACTGAGAGACAGTGCCACAGGACCTTGGTCTCTGTGACAAAGGGGCAGATCTAGGACCAGAATTCGAGTCCCAGGCCAGTTGCAGCTCACGGGAAGAAAGAGCTCCCCAGGACCACTGCCTGTGTCTGCAGGTGGTGAGCTCCCTGTCACTGGAGGTTCAGCAAGCGCAAGGTGAGGTTTTTCAGAAGACTTCAGACCCCGGACTGGCACCGTCCCTGACTGGCCTCCCCCACTCAGCTCCTCCCCACCCTCTACCTCAGCCAGATGACAGTTGGGATACTGTAGGGGCACAAGGTGCAGGCAACCTTCTGGGGCCTGAAACTGACCCTAGCCAGGGAGGAAGATTTTTTTAAGCCAGCCCTGCCCCTCCTGCCCTGCTGTGTGGTCTCAGCTGGTGACTGGATACCACCCAGATCTGTAGTGTCGTCTTCCCTGACATGGGTCCGAGAGTCCAGGCCTGTACACGGGGCTGCAGAGCTTGGCTTGGATCCCAGATCCCTCGAGGCCGTGGCAGACAAAAGCTGGCTTTGTGGGAAGGACTCAGCAGTATCCCAGCAGGGCTGTGGCCCGGGACATAGGGACCCCTGGCCCTGCCCACCATGTGCAGAGGAGCCAGCAGAGTGTGGGCCAGAGGTGCATGCTGTGGCCCCAGACCACTCAAGAGACCAGCCAGGCAGAACTGTCTTTCAGTGGCCTCCAGGCCCTGTTGTCATGACAACCCCAAGGGCCTCCTGACCCTGTTGCCATGGCAACTCCAGGCCTCCAAACACAACATCCAAGTGCCTTTAGCGTCATTCAAAGATGTGGGGGGCTTTCCTGGAAGCACTGGGGGGGTGACAGCATCAGTATTGGGGTTCCCCAGCCCTTTCTCCCCAAGTCCCAACCCTAACCAAGACCCTTCCGCCCACCTCCCTCCACATCCTGCTGTATTTGATTGGAATCCAATAAATTGAAACTGATTTAATAACAAACTTAAGGTTGTTTTTATTATTCACACGGGAGGAGTAGGAGGTGGGAAGGGGTCCCTGGGAGGGAATCCTCCTGGCTTCAGCTCCTAGGGTCCCACTTTATTGATGGGCCGTAGGTCAGCAAAAAGGCAGAAGGAGCTAGCCATGGTAATCTCAAGCACCAGGAGGCTGAGGCAGGAGGATTACTGAATTCAAGGCTGCACTGGGCTATATAGTGAGATCCTGTCTCCTTAACCAAAAACAAAACACAAACAAAAAAACAAGACAGAAGGATTCAGCCCTGAGTTTCTGGCTAGGGAGAAATAGGGACCATAAGGGAAACTCCTGCCATGAACTCATAGGAAAAAAGGAGAAGTCAGGTCCTTGAGGTGCCTCTTTGGACTGCAACCTCCTCACTCTGTCTTGGGGAAGTCATCCCTGAGTCCTGAAGGAATGCTAATAGAGTGCTTTATCACAGGGTATGGTGGGAAGCTGAGGCAGGAGGATTGCAAGTTCCAACCCAGCCTGAGCAACTTAGTGAGCCTCTGTCTCACAATACAAAATTAAAAAGAGCTGAGGAGCCAGGGATTTAACTCAAAGGTTCTGCCACCTTCCTCGCAAGCGCAAGCTCCCAAATTCGATCCCCAGTACAAAAAAAAATCATGGCTGAGGACGTAGTTTAGTGCAAAGGCCCCAGGTTCAGTCCCCAGAACTGTAAAAAATATTTTTTTAAAGTTGTTTTATCCAATTCCCATTTGTTTTCATTTTTTTAAACCTCCATTAATAGATGGGTAAACAGAGATAAAGACAGGAACCCAGTGTCCAGGATCCCAGGATCCAACCCCTAAAGACACAAGAAGACATTTGTGCTCATTCTGTATTTTTTTTTTTTAAGATAGGGTCTTGCTCTGGAGTTTAGGCTGGCCTTGAACTCACTATAGAGTCCAGGCTGAACTCAAACTCGAAGGATCCTCCTGCCTCAGCCTCTTGAGTACGTAGGATCTCCTTGCAGAGAAACTATTGCCTCACGTACCTCAGTTTCCTCACCCAGAAAGGCTGCCATTCCCTTTCCAGTGCCTCTGAGTCCCTGATTTGGGGCAAGTACAATACTCAAGATTGTCCCCAAACCTGTGGTATTGTGGGGTGACTGGGGGAGGGGACTCCCTGACTAAGGGGGGACGCTCCTTCTGCAGGGGGCCAGGGCCCAGCTGGAGTGGGCCCCTAGCAAGGGTCCATGGGAAGGCAATCTGGGACTGCAAAAATAAAGGGCAGGCCACTGGCCTGTCTCCAACCCCCAGCTGCCAAGAGGGACTCACTTTTGGGGGGATTTCAGGTCCCCACCCACTCTCTCCAATGTCTCCTGTAACAGGCACCTTTGCCAGGTGATTACCAAGAAAGCAAGGTAACTTCCCCACCCTCTCCCTCTGGCCCTGAGGGTTTCTTCCCTTTGTGTTTGTTGTTTTGTTGTTTGGTCCTGGGGCTGGAATCCAGGGTCTTCACAGGAAGCTAAATCCCTAGCTCTTTTTACCTCTTTTTGGTGGTACCAGGGATCGAACTCGGGCCCTTGTGCTTGCAAGTCAGGCAGTGGAACCACTGAGACAGGTTCTAGCAAAGTCTAAGTTCCCCAGGCTGGGGTTAAACTTGCTATTCTCCTGCCTCAGCCTCCCAGAGGGTGGATGTGCATGTGCCCAACTTCAACATTTAGAAAAAGATAGGATCTACATACTTACATGATCTGATGCGGGACTTTGGCCTCCGTTCCAACAAAACTTTACTTAGAAAAACAAGTGGTCAAGCTGGGCACGGTGGCACACACCTGTCATCCCAGCACTCAGGAGGCTGAGGCAGGAAGACTGAAGTGAGTTCAAAGTCAGCCAAGGCTACATAGAGAGACCTTGCCTCAAAAAACAGAACAATGGGCTGGGGATTTAGCTCAGTAGTACAGTGCTTGCCTTACAAGTGCAAAGTCCTGAGTTTGGTCCCTGGTACCACACACACAAAACAGAACAAAATCCAAGAGGTGCAGTGTCTAAGACAGGATGTAGGAAAGGCTTTCTTCCTTCTCGGCAGCACAGAGCAGGACAGTGACTTGCCCACAAGCACAGCAAGGCTCTGAGCCAAGACAGAGGCTACTGAGACGGCCTCGAAGAAGGGAGAGCAGTTCTCAGGAACTGAAAACCCACAGGAAAAAGTGGCCTGGTTTCATTTCTCCCAGAAAAGTTGGGGCTGGAACTCTCTGCCCACACCTAAGGCAGGGAGCCCGCTATGTCCGGCTGCTCCCAGTTTTGCAGGGACCCCACTGCCACCCACCCACCCTGGTGGTACAGCCCCTGAGCTCTCAGCCCAACTTTCCCACAGGGGTCCCCACCTTCGTCCAGGCCTAACCCCTCGGCTGGGACGCCCTTCCCACAGCACACTGGGCTGCCTCGCCCCAGCTGGGGAAATGATGTAAAAGGGGCCCCCAGCCCCACCCCGGGCCCGGCCTGTGGCCTAACAGTTGCTCCATGCTTCCTGTTGGCTGGAGCCATTTGGGGAGGCCGGGGGCCCGCAGGACTCAGCTTGTCCCCTTCGTCCCTACAGCCTGAAGGTAGGGGTGGGGTGGGGGGCTGGGCAGAAATAGCAGCATTTCTTTTCTTTTCTTTTCTCTTCTTTTTTTCTGGGGCTGGGGATTTAGCTCAGTGGTGTAGCTGCCTGTCTCACAAGCGCAAGGCCCTGAGTTCAATCCCCAGTACAAAGAAAAAACAGAGAGAGAAAGAGGGAGAGAGAGAGAGAGGGAGGGAGAGAGAGGGAGAGAGAGGGAGAGGGAGAGGGAGGGAGAGAGAGAGGAGAGAGAGAGAGAGAGGTCTCCTAGAAATTAAACCCAGGGCCTTTTCATTGAGCTTCATTCCCCACCCCTTTTTAAGGTTTATTTTGAGGCAAGATCTTGCTAGGTTGCTTAGGCTGGACTGGAGAAAACTGAGATCCTCCTGACTCAGCCTCCCAGAGGATAAGTGTGTGCCACCACAATGGCTCACAAGCAGTAGCTTTTTGAGGTTGGATGAAGGGCTGGGGCCTTGAAACTGGGAAGTGGAAGCCTACCGCAACAGCATGGCTTGCGGTGGGCTGTGTGTGTGGCTGACTTCTTGGGACAAGGCCCAAACATAGCTCTTGTTCATTTTTACCCACCCCTTGCTGACCCCTGGATAGCCCATCCTCTAGGCTGGGCATTGAGTCCCACCCTGAACATTCAGACCCCGAAGGATGGATGAGTAACATGCCTGTCTTGTGGGTAAGGAAGAGTAAGAGAGGGCAAGAAGTTTACCCAGGGTCACACGGCAGACCCAAGGCTCGGCAAGGAAGCCACAGTGGAGGTGTTGAGGCCCCTGGGAGCAGGCAGCACCGAAGCACTCAGCCCCCGCCTGTGCACGAGGTTATCCTACATGTGCCCCCTTCCACCAACAGCATGAGCAGCCCTGAGTCCCCCACCACCAGCAGTGAGCCGCCCTGAGTCCCCCGCAGAGAACCCCGAGCCGGGCAGCCTGGCCCAGCCAGCTCAGCCTGCGTACTGCAACCTCGGTGAGCAGCCAGCTGGGAGCCCTGGGCCGGGGAGGGCAGGGGTGGCAGGAGCCAGTGGCGGCCATACCTGGGAGGAGGGAGGAAGCTCTGGGGCCAAAAGCTTATAAAACGGAGTCACCTGCACAGCCAGGCAGGGAATACAGTTTCCTGGGGGCTGAGTGGTGTGACTCTACCTGACTGCACCAGAGCCGGTGCGCTGTCTGCACACTGGGCCTGGCCCCCTAACCTGTAGGACACCTGGCAGTGGCTGGTTTGGTTTTGTTCTGTTGGGGATACAGGGGATGGACCCTACGGCCTTTGCACTGAGCTCCATCCCCAGCTTTTTCAGTTTTTATTTTGAGACAGGGTCTCAGTAAGTTGCCTGGGCTGGGCTTGAACTCAATGTTCTCCTGCCTCTGCTTCCCAGAGTGCAGGATGACACCATACCCAGCATTATTCCCATTTTAGAGATAGGGAAATCAAGGCTGAGGTGTAGTCACAAAGGCCACATGGCCCCCAAGTTCTCAATCCCCCATCTCCCGCACAGGGGAGGTCCGCGCCCATCTGATGCCCTTCAAGGCCTGCCGGTCCCACACCCCCAGGTCCCTCTCCTCCTCCGGCCCCCAGCCCCCACCCCTGCCCAAGAAGAACCTGACCCGGATGCAGTCTCTGCCCAGTCGCGGGGTCCCC